GCTGTGTATGCCCGAGATAGCCACAATAAGAACACATCACCGGGGACTGGCTATGAGACCGCACTCTATGAAGCTGATAAGGATAAGCCTGATGAAATGGCTGACGTTGAGAATGCTGCTGCCTCTGCGGGTTCTGCTACTGTCTCTGAGGAGGACGCTCGCCACTCCTATCTGGAACTATGGGTGCCCTGCTCTGAATCACATGTGAGTCTTCAGGTTCCTTATGTACGCTCTCAATCTCGAGAGCTGCATCTAGCACCGCATCATGGGTCGCCAAAGCTCTACCTGCCAAAGCCATCCTCATGTACTTGCCCAGACCCTTCTGAAATTGATGCCTCATAATCGTAGGGTCTGTAACCAAGTGGGGAGCATATCGACTCAAAGAAGAAAACTCAGCCTCGTACTCATCAACTGTTCGCCCTCCTTGCTTAAGCTCAACAAATCTACATAGCAGTTCATCCCGAGCTGACTGAGGAAAATATTTCCTGTTGAAGTGCTCGATGAACGTCTCCCACAGGATGGGCCTCTCCAAATGAGTCTTCTCAGCTGCCCACCATATCCGAGCGGTATCGGTGAGTTGAATATCCATCAGTAAACCCTCTCCTCCAATTTTCATTCATTTTGATTCTAGATCTACCATAGAGCTTCTAAAGCAAGTGCATGTAAATAAAAAACTCAACAAACATATTAAAATAAGATATAAATCTGTATAATGCTTGATAGGTAAAGTTGTGATCTTAGACTTTGTAAAATCTGAGAAGAAACTTGTTGACCCTTTGACTAAAAGATTATCCAGGAGTGTGGTTCTGGATTCATCGAGGGAGATGAGGTTAAGCCCATAAGTGAGGTCACTGACAGCGGCAACCCAACCCTTATTTGGAGACGTAGTCCCAATGTTGGTTCAATGTGGTAGAAATAGGCTGGACTAGTGACACTCGTGTGGAGCATCGACCCAGATATATTCATATATCGATATGTAGCATGTGCTAGTACCCCTTCTCTATGATGACAATGCTTTTATGATACAGCTGGTTAGGCTGAGTTTTACTCTTAATAAGTCCAAGGCATGTATTGCGGAGGGTATGATATCCACCTGTAGTACCATTGGAGAACTTACCTACGTGAGAGGAACCATGATGGCTGCGGTTGGGGGGGCTGGGCTGGGCTAACTCCTAGAAACTCTCATGAGTCGGTTATTGTGAGCATGGCCTTTAACGCTCAACCCGCTTTGCTCAATAGATGAAGACATATTGTGTGTGTTTTTATCAATACATGGTTCAAGGGGCCTAATTCAAGGCTTAGTCCATTATGTCTCTCAGGTGGCGGTGAACTCACTAAGGAAAGGTTCAAAGCCGGAAGGTACCTCTCCCGAATTCACGATACGAAAGGTTGCCCAACCTATATTTAATTTGTGATTTATTGATTTATTTATTGTTTTTAATTTTCAGTCAAATATGGCTTTTGAGGGGGGGGGGGGGGGGGGTGTAGCTATACGTGTTGAGAAAAAGGTATTTTGGCCTTGTGAATAGTCCCACATTGGAAAGTGAATTGAATTGTAAGTGGTTTATAATGGAACACTCCTTATTGGGCTTTGAATATTATTTTTGGGTTTTTTGGGCTTTGCATAACACACGTGCGCGCATGCCACGCCTCGCCACACGCACGCGCGCCACACCGCACATGCACGCCATTTTGCCTCTCAAGCTTTTATTTTTGCACGTTTTACACAAGGTTGTAACGGTTACGAGAATTATGACATCGTGGTAACATGTGCGAGATCTCTGTGAAACGTGCGCGAGTAATTAGCAACAGCTAAGTGTTTTGGAGGCTATATAATCAGCCCAAGCCCTATTCGGAGAGACACAACAACTGAACAAGCCTTCCCCTCTCTTCTCAAGAGCTTCTACCATTCTGTTTAAAATCTTTTGCTATTTATTTATTTAATTTTCGGACAACCATCTTCGTCTGAACTGAAGCTCTGCTACTCTCGCCCGAGTACAGAGGCCGGCAATTTCCGAGGACTTTTACTGTTAGGGGAAGAGGATTAACTGCGCCAGGGCGATAGGTGAGTCCTCAATCTTCTAGGACAGTGAAATCACGATTGCTACCCCGTAACAGGCCTGGATTTCTTACACTTCTATTTTCGGATTTATACTAATAATTTGTGTTTTGTCAACATAAGATATATTTAGAATCCTTTATTTATAATTTTACCTCTGTCAGATCCAATTTCTATTCTGAGTGAAATAAACACTCCCTTGTCATCTAGTTACTTTTAATGAATAACCAAAACCGCTTAAAAGTTTGCCCAACGCCGGAAAAAAATTGAAGTTCCGTTCTGATGATGTACGGGCGCATGTAGTCATCTACACTGTTTGGGCCGAAACCCGTTAACAAATTAAAACTGACCCGTTATCCCAATAACAAAATCCCTAGTTCGATCCCTTTCCGTTATTCATTTCACGCAATCTCTCTCTCACCGTCTCTCACCTAGGGCTTTGCGGCGACGGCACTCCGGCGACTGAGAGGCGGCGACGGCGAGGATTAAGCGGCAAGGGCAAGCGACAATCAGTGGTAGTAGCTCTTTAAATTTTCATTCTTTTATCGAAAATCCTAATTTTAACCCTAATCCTTTCTTCTTCTATTCTTCTCTCCGTTTTTTTGGGGTTTTTTCTCGATTTTTTCGAGTCCTCTGCGATGAATCAGCATAGCAGCAACAGGAACAGTTGTCCGAGTTCTTACTGAAGAGAGAATAAAGGAGTGGATTATTTTTTTCTCCTTTTTTTGGGAATTTGTGAACTTTATTCTTTTTTAAAGTGCATAATTCCATCTGTTGACTCTTTTGGAAGTTGCAATGAGAAATATGCCATGTTTTCTTCGTTGCCTTAAACCGGAACGGCTTAATTTCTAAAATGGATTTAGATTGTAATATAAAAACGAAATAATTTGATCCTTTTTTGGGGTTCATTTGGTTGTTTGGCTGTCGCTATCTGTAGATATATTTTGCCCTTTGTGTGTTTGTGGAAAAGCCTCAATCAAAATTTTAGAAAGGAAGCCTCGTATAGCCAATAGATATTAGAGGAAGTTTATAAATAAATAAAAAATCGATGTGCTTCCTGACTAAACAAATCCCAAAATGGGTTTTTCTCTTTTGGCATACACTAAAAAGATAGCTTAAGATAATGCTAGCAACAGCCCCATACCCATTTTTAGTTTCTCAGTCTGTGCCATCTTTCCTAAATAATTGCTGTGTTCAATAGGCTCTAACTACGCGCTAATGATTTCATTTTAAGGCTCGAAGCAGATGCAATAGGATAAAGTGATATAATACATAACCATGGCTGACCAACGTGCATCAGAAGAACCTGAAGAGCAAATTGACCTTGATGGAGACAATGACATTGAAGATATGATGGATGATGAAGACCCTGTAGAGGATGATGGATACAGGAGCAGAGATGAATACAGAGAGCAAGATTCTGCCGGAAATGATAGCTATAGGAGAACAAGAGATGAATTTGAGGAGCAAGATCCAGCAGATGATGATGATAGCTATAGGAGAGTCAGAGATGACTACAAAGAGGATGCACAAGATCATGTCTCTGAAGAGGAGGAGCGTGTTAAAGTTTCTGAGCCTGATGAAACTATGGATGCTTCTAACTCCGTGACACATGAGGAAAATGCCGTTGAGCCAATAGATGAGGCTGAGAGAGAGAAACATGCTGAGTTGCTCTCTCTTCCCCCTCATGGCTCAGAAGTTTTCATTGGTGGGCTTCCCCGTGATGCAACAGAGGAGGACCTAAGAGAGCTTTGTGAACCCTTCGGTGAAATTTTTGAGGTTAGATATTATCATGTTAGATATTTGTGGTTTTTCAACAAAGTTTAACCTTTGTGATGGTTGACATTGGCAGGTAAAGTTGGTGAAGGACAAGGAAAAAAGGGAAAGCAAGGGTTTTGCTTTTGTTTCATTCACAGCAAAGGATGCTGCACAGAAAGCCATTGAAGAAGTGCAAGATAAAGAATTCAAGGTAATGTGCTTGTTCAGGGACATGCAAGATAGGTTTATTCCACAGGTTAGCTTGATTGCGAGCTTGAATATAATCTATTTCCTTTTTTTTTCCGCATCATTTCAGGGAAGAACCTTGAGATGTTCACTGTCTCAAGTCAAATACAGATTATTTGTTGGAAATGTTCCAAAGAACTTGTCAGAAGAAGAATTGAGGAAAATACTTGTGGAGACTGGCCCTGGAGTGGAAAATATTGAATGCTTTAAGGTAGGTTTCTCCTGATGTAAGATAAGCTTGTGTACCAAAATAAACATCTACTTGTATGTTCAATATTTCCAGTTGTCATTCAGGACCTACAAAATCCAGAGCGGAATCGTGGCTTTCTTTTTGTTGAGTATTACAATCACGCTTGTGCTGAGTATGCAAGGCAAAAAATGACAAATCCTAATTTTAAGATAGACGGAAGCAATCCCACCATTAGCTGGGCTGACCCCAAAAACGCAGCTGAAGCTTCTGCAGCCTCTCAGGTACGAGTACTTGTTGTAAAGAAATTGCACTTGGTTGGCTATTTCCTTTTTGGACTTTAGTGCTACACAAAATTTTCATCTTGTACATAATATAAAGAGCATGTATTACTTTCTCACTTGAAGTACTGTCTGTTTAAACTTTAAACTGTGCTGTAAAATTTGTTTGATTGCTCTGTATGGAAAATCATACTTTGCACATTAGAATTGCTTTTTGTGTGTATAGCATGGGGCATATGTGCAAGCTGCACAAGTTGTGTCAGGTAGCTTGAGGGTAAGATCTGTATCACATACATATACTGAAATGTGCAGAGCCGAAACCAGATTCTTGTGGATTTATTTCCTTGGCTACAAAGTTGGGCAGTTACCCGTACAAGGTAGGTCAGACGTAGGGCCATGAAATTCGTGAACTTTAATATGCTTGGAGTGTGAAGAACTAGTTGTTCTCTATAACTTATATCAGTGTTATCAAAGGTGCATGCCTTACCGTTCCTCGTGCGTCCTGCGTTGTGCGGTGGTGGTGAAGTGATCTGATGTAGCAACGCCTTTTGTGCTTCTGAAGAACAAAGTGCATGCAACCTTGTATATTTTCGTTCTTTAACATTTTAATCTGGTTTTTATACTTTTTTATACCCAATACCCATATCCCAAAAAACAAAATAAACCCATTAGGCCTTTTTAGTTGTTTGATTGAGGACCCTAACTATCCTCGTCTATTATTTGATGTTTCTTCAATACTAGTCTGGATTTGACTTTTGATTTGGGAAATTATGAAATTCGCTACTATGTTGGATGTGTTAGCATTAGGAATTATGACCTTATTTTGTGATTTAGTAGTAGATGTTATTTATCTTGGGATATTTTTTGTGTTAAAATTCATAAACATGTTCTTCACAATTGATTATTTATCTTGAAAATTGTGTGCGGTGTGCGCCTCGCTTCACTCGGGTAAAACATCCTGCACATCTGTGTAAAGGGACTTTACGCCCCGCATTGCGCCTCTCACATTGATAACACTCACTTATCCCGATGAAGATGGGGAGATTTTGTCAGATCTGGGTTCTTGAAGTACCCAAACTTGAATATTTAGGACGGATCTTAACTGTTGGGATCATCATCCCGAGTTCACTTGAAATTCCCTTGACTGGGGATGTATTCAACTAGCTAATTTTGATCTGTCATTATGTTGGGTGATGACCGATGATACATGTTTATAGTTTCTAATATGTTCATGTTTTGTCTATGTAGACATTTTATTGTTGCAAATCTTGTTTATTGGTTCACAGTTGAATTAACCCATTTGCTTTCTGACTCGTCATATTTGAGCTTATATCTTAATTTTAGATGCCCAAAAGCACCCTCTACTGCCCACCTGAATGCACAAGCACACACGCTACCACCAATATCACCAGCTCCACCACCACCAACTGAAGTAATATATACATGTATCAACAATTTATTGAAGCTGGGGTGAAAGAGGCATCCAAACACAACATACACAATTATAGGCAAACAGTAGAAACCGTCTAAATCTCATACAATCATCTGTCTAATTATTGGTGTCCACTTCATGAAAAAGTCAACAAAGTCCCTCTAAGATCCTCTCTTTAATCCTATCAAACCCATCTTATGAAATCTCTATCTACTTTTTGTTTCGGTTTAAATTGATTATGGTGGGGGGAACTAGATTTTGTAGGGTGATCTTCAAATTAAATGCTTATTGGTTAGTTTTTTCCACATGAGTGTACTGAGCCATGCTCTCCACTTCAATTCATGGGTGTAATGAGCCAGGTACAAAGACATTGTACAAAGTGCGTTAACCAGAATGATGATCCTTACCTCTAGTTCTTCCATCTTCGAAGTTCCTAATCTCCAAGCCCTCAAACTTTAGCATATATGGAAAAGAAAAACAAAACTTAAATTGCAGCACGGGTAAAATGATAATTGTTAGCTCATGTCTGAAAAATTCTGTATGGGATATTTATATTTATTAAATAGGTGAAACAATTAAATATGGTTTGGTAAATAGCGTAAAAGACTTTCAAGTTTATGAAATTTTCTATTAGATAAAAGTGTTTAGCCTGCTGTTTTACATGATACGTGAGACGGTTAATATTTTCTTAAATAACCTTGGGTAAATATGAAAGTTTTTGGTTTCTTGAAATACTAAAAAATAAAAAATTTCCTTTATGACCATTAGGAGAATAATGACCTAACAAATGAATAGTATAGAGATGAAAACAGTTGTAAAGATGTTTCAGTATTATTGTCTAGAATACATTCTTTAAAGGTCGTCGTTTCCATAACGAGTAAAAACTACTAAGATATTTTACTCCCAACTACTTGTTTATATTCCTTTCTGCACATCCTTAGTTTCAATGCTTCAAAAGGCTCCCGCCTAGCCCACCTAGGCTCTTATCTAGGCCGAGCTGCCCGCTTAGGTTTTCAGAGCATCTAGGCCTAGGAGGTACCTTATGCGGGCTGCATCGCTTAGGTCTTGAACGTGATTCCTCCGTTACTGCCTCCATCATCCTCTAATCTCCTCCAAACTCTTTTAGCCTCCCACTATGAACACCTTCAAGTCCTTTGATCTTCAACAAATATCCTCCACCACCAGTTAAACGAAAGAGAGAGAGAGAGAGCTTCACGAAGAAGAGAAATAGATTAGAGCTGAAGAAAAGCAGATTAGATGATTACGCTGTATGTTAGACTATTCGATTTTAATTTTTTATTTATAGTTTTTTTTTGCTTTTGTTGATATTTTGAGCATTAGGCTTTCGAAGTTGGGATATTATGCGTCATTGACATTAACATATAGTGTTGGTGTTCTCTGTATTTACAATTTAGTCTATATATGTAGGATTGTACGTCTGTTATTTATTTTTTACAATTTTCTATGAATTTTATGCGTTTATTATTAATTATTTGTATTAAAAAATAAAAATTTGGAAAAACCATCTAGGATCTACCCAATCTCTAGGTGTCATTTTTGATGTTTAGGCCGCCTAACGCTTTCTGTAACCTTGCTTAGTTTTTCTCAAGTACGAATCTCAAGTATGAACAATTTTGACATATTCCCAATATTATCTAAAGGGAGATGCCATCTTCTGGACATTGTGATGCTTTATATTGTTTAGGATGACTTTCATGCAACATGATGGCTATCTCTCAAGCTATGGTCCCCTTAGAATCAGGATGAGGGATGGACAAAAAGCTATAGTTTGATGTCGCTTGAAAAGATTGCAAAAGCTATGCGATGAAAGCAAAAAATGTTCAACCTCCTTAATTAAACAATCAGGCTTGAGAGAAAAAGTCTTGCTCTTTTCATTCAGGACACGTGAAACTATTAGGGTGATTGTGAGGTGCTATATTTGTTTTTCTTTTTATGGAGGTTGTGGTTATGTCCGTATACTACACAATGTCTTAGAAAGCATTGGGTACTTTTGGGCGCCAGATCTAAGCTTAATGCTTAGGCTCCTTGGAATATGGCTAAGTGCTGCCTATTTTGGCATTCTATTTTTTAAAAAATCTCTACTAAATATAAAATCTCTTTTAGAATTTGAGAAAACATACAAAAATAAATTAAGAGAAGAAGAGACAAAGGACAATGAACTGATGAAGATTGAAAGAAGAAAGAAAGAGAAAGAGGAAGATGATTATGAATGTCAATATTAGTGTTTAAAAATTAGCCGATATTATCAATTTAACGTTGATATATTGGGTTTGGACCATGATTGATATGATCAGTGCAAAAATTTATCGCATATCATTTTTAGCCGATTTTTCTCGATATATCGGTGTAAATTCGATAAAATAGATGATTTCTCATTGGCTAAAAATCGTCTGATTTTCTACAATTTACATTCTAAGTGAAGTGATTCTCGTTTGGAGACAAAAATCCTTTTTTCCCCCACACCCGACCCGCATCTTCTAAATAAAAATAGTACTATCCTATTCTATTCCGCATCCACCAAGCAAAAACATTTGGTTAGTTATCCTAAATATTATCCTAAACATGTGTTATTTATATTTTAGTATGTTTATATCTCATTTAAGTGTACTTAGATTATATTTATGGATGTATATTACATTATATAGGCTTATCATCCGAGATTTTTTCACCCGATAACTGGGATCCGATATGAATTTTGGCTAATCCGATATATTTCCAATAACCGATCTTGATCAAGATAAATCTGTACATATTATTGTAATTTGTCTTTAAAATCATGATAAAATAAATAAAAAAATCCTTTCTTTTTGGAAGTCTCAACAATGGTTGGTGGCAATTCCTGCAATGATTGGGATTTAGGGGCATCACCTCTAGCTATAGTTTGACAAAGGAGAGAGCCGAGACTCGAGAGACAGAGAAAAGGAAAGGGTTTTGCTAAATCAAAATCCTAGTTTTTTTCTAGTTAATTGAATTTAGAATTTGGAATCCAACTTGCTATCTTCATCCGTTGTTGTACTTAAGTGGGTCATAACATGTTTTTTTTGGCATGCTTATGTGGCTTGCACCTGCTTAGGCACCCTAAAAAAGCAAGGACCGCCTTTTAAAACAATTAATGCATAGGTTGCAACATATAGGCACATGACTACAAATTGTAATTGCTGGTATTTTGAACTTTGAGGAAATAATAGCATGATTAGAATGGCTTAATTGTTGCAGTTGCATTTGCTATAGGAATTTTTGTACTATCTTGATTCTTGAACCTATCATTCCATTATAATATGAGTCTATGTTACCCCGACACGTCAATCTTGGTCCCGTACCCGTGTCGGGTACGTATTGGGGAGAAAAAAATTCACTCGTGAGGGGAGAAAAAAAATTCACCGACTGAAGCGATTTGAGGGGACACGACAAAAAATTCACTCGTGAGGGGAGAGAAAAAACGCACTTGAAATTTTGAAACGGAGGACGAATCGGGCGCTATTTGAGCCCAATAACCCAAGCCCACTTGAAATAACTTATCCTCTGAAGCGATTCTGCCTTTACCACCTTCGAACCCATCGACTAAAGCGACGATCACATTCCTCGACGACGAATCCTGCTCCTCGACGACGAAATCAGAGCCTCGACGAAGCAATTTCAGCGCCTCGATGACGAGAGGGAGAGAGAAGATGGGGGTTTACTGTTTAGGGATGAGGGAGGACTGAGGAGAATGAGAAATAGAGAGAGAGGGAGGAAACAACTATAACACAGCTGGTGATTGAATTTCAAAGTGGGGCCCGCTTCTTTTTTTCTTTTGTTCTTTTGGACAACTATAACACCGCAAGGTTTATCGGTTGATATTTGGCTTCCGGTTTTAGTTCAGGTGTGCTCTAAGTAGAGGATTGATCGGGTGTGGATTTAAGAGTAAATAAGTGTGAGGATATAATAAGATTGGGATTGACCAGGGATTAGTTGTTTGTTACTCTCTCGGATTATTTTCAATTTAAACATTTGCTCTATTTCATTATTCATCCATTAGTGATAGTAAAGAATATAGTCATTTCAGCCATTGGAATTTGAAATAGATACTTATTTCGAGTTAATTGAGCTATATTTAGTTTCTTATTTATAATCTCCACTTTACATAACAAAAAATATGAAAATGTAATAGGAATTTAATTCAATATTGATCTAAAGTGAATTATTTTGTATATATACAACTGTGTCCCCGTACCTTACTTTTTACAAATTTGCCGTGTCCCGTACCCGTACCCGTACACGTATCTATGCAACATAGAATATGGTCTTCATGCTTGTGCACTGAATGCTGTTGATACTTGGTTCAGTATTCAGTATCCAGTTCCTAGGACAGCCAACTAATGACCAAAATGGTTGGTTGGTATCATTTTCAACGGAACAAAAATACTGATCTATATGCCTTCATGTGTACATGTATATTTTTATCTCACTGCTATGAAGAAGGAATACTTTAATAGAGGAGACGTACAGATATTTTGTACTAGTAGGCACACACTTTTGATACAATTGATACGCGGTAGATCCATGTCACTGCGTTTTGATTTATCTTAAGATCTATAGATTTCCTAGGCATATTGAAGATATATTTGAGTCTAGAAGGTAAACATCTAATCCATGAATGGTGTTTAAATTCAATTGATTTAGTCCCATTTATATCAATTGCCAAGTGAAAGGGTTATGACGCTTCGGGGGCAGATCATCAAGCGTTTACCGTATCACTTGTGGCCGTTGCGAATTCTTTCCTTTCCGATAGCCTGACTATATAGGGCAGCCCCAGTTTTAGTATCAATCCGTCATCCTGTGACAGTCTCAGTGCCACTTCCTGTTCTACTTCATGGTGGTACCTGGTCAAGTTCAGTGACGCATTAAGCAAATAGAAAGTTCCAGAGCTGGAAGAGGCAAGTGCATAAAAAAGTACCGGTTCAAGTCAAAGCCCCAGTCCCAGTTCAGTTCCAGTATTGGAACAAGCATAAGTGTATATTTATATAACTTGGATCTAGTTTGATATACCTGACAACTATGAAGCACGGATACTCCCCAAGAGGCCACGAATCCGTGTCTGACACGAATCAGACACGATTCGCGCATGATACGTGCACGACACGTGTCGGACACGTACGAATCCGTGTCTGACACGAATCAGACACGATTCGCGCATGATACGTGCACGACACGTGTCGGACACGGTCAATCCGTGTCCGACACGGGTCAACGGTCAAAGTTGGCCAGACACGGTCAACAGGGAGTTGGACACGGCTCAGACACGCCTGCAGCGCCTGACGGAAGCTAAAAAAGAAGCAAAAAGAAGCGGTGGCTAGGGTTATTGGGTTATTGGGTACATACCCGATTTCCACTATAACTATTAAGCCATTTACTGTTAACTGTTAATGGTTTCTTATTTAACTATAAAGCAATGTTTTTGAATGTTTAACTGTTAATTATTTGAGATAGTAAGTCAGTAAACTGATTTTTAATTAATAATAGGTAATTATTAAAGTTTGGTTTGTGGACTATTTTGATTAATAATAGGAGAGATTTAAGGAGAGATTTGTTTAACTGTTGAAATGTAACTATTTTACAAAGTGAGATTTAAGGAGAGATTTATCTTAACTGTTAACTACTGGTTTTTATTATTATTATCACTGTTAAGTGTTAACTGTTTTTTGCAGAACTAATTACTTGTTTCTTATTAATACATATCGGTCATAATTGTTGAAAATGTGCTACTATTTGTTTTCATGTGCGAGATTGCGAGAGTGCGAGTATTGATTCTTGCTATTTGAGCTATGCGTAGTGCTACTAGTTGACTTGAAAGTTGAAACTTAAAACTTGATTCGCCATTTGTAACCTGTAAAGAAGAAAATAAAATTTAGCAATATAGTTGTTAGTGATGCAGTATACTAGTATGAAAGTTTGAATAGTTTGCAAGCTTGAATGAAAATTAACGTACAAGTTTAATACTTTAATTGACTAAATTTTTCTATCTATAATAATAATTTTAAAAAAAAATCACTGCCGTATCCCCGTATCCTATTTTTTTGGATTTTGCCGTATCCCGTATCCGTGTCCGTGTCGTATCCGTGTCCCGTATCCGTATCCGTGCATCATAGCCTGACAATGCTGTTTTACTCGTCCATTTGTTTTTACTTTATAATTTTGATTTATGTAACTTATGAATCCAAATTTCTTGCATATCTTTATTCTGCTGTATCTTATTGCCAGATGGTTTTTATCACGGTGTGTCACATCACTTATCTCTTGTTTATCATAGTTCTACTCAACAGAGGATGATACCTCTTGTATGTACATTTTAATACTTAGTCTGGCATAATGGTTTCAGTTGTAGGTAGCCGTTGGTAGTATAACTTGTCTATCATGGAGTCCTGTTCTTAACTGCACTCTTTACCCTACACTATCTCTATAAATGGATCCTAGTGTAAAATTTTTCAATTAGTACCTGGTAAAACCTGACCATATGGAGGCATGGAGCAGCAGATATAGTGAAGCACGAAGGTCTACTCAGTTTGGAGAATAGTCCATTAAATCTGATTTTTTAATGGCTTTGGAACTTAGACGGCTCAAATTAGTAATATTGCTTACTCACCGTTTGTCCCCTCTTTCTTGCCAGTTTTGATAAACTTACCCTTGTTTTTATCTTGCTAAAGCTACATGGTTAATGTGCTAGATCTTTGATATAATGGTTGTATTTCAGTTGTGCAACTTATCATTAAGTCATTCACATGGCACAAACAACATTTTCTGATTACATGACCTCTTTGGTTGTTGGTTCTTTTGTTTTACGCTTTTACTTGACAGTAGCTCTATTATGTTGAAATTTGAAACAACGAGCACACATTTGGAAATGTATGGTATGAACGTGACATTTTCTTGCTCTGTCATTGACATTTTATAACTGTTTGCGGAATGTGTTGCTTGTCCATAGATTATATCGTGTCATGTTTATCCCTGTGCTTCTTAGGTAGTTTGCCTTTCATATGGCCGTCCCTTTTCTGACTTTAGCATAACTAGGAATCATCTGATTAAGAGTGTGTTGACATATATGCTTTGCAGCTTCTTCCTTCGCTGAGATACTTTTGGATAGGGGACAAAATCCCACTAATTGTAGTTAGACTGCTAGTATGTAATTTTATTTGTACGAATTTGGTCTCATTACATTTTAATATTGTTATTGGAGGTTGTTGTCAAGGTGTTCTTTCAATGGCTTTGGCTCTTTACCTTTTCTGCAGCATCATTAATTAGCTTTGTTTACTGCAAGACCTCTCTAGTGAAATACAGCCTGATCTATATTTGTTGTTTGAGGTTACTGTAACTCTGGGAACATTGGATTGAAACTACAATTTTAGAGCTTGTATATTGTGTTTCCTGTATTATTTGAGGCCCTTTCCACTATTGTTACCCTTTGAATGCTGCAAGAGTTGGTAGTCATATGGAGTATCTTTCGGTCTTTTTTTATTTTAATGTTACCTTTGTGGATTCACAGGTGAAGGCAATCTATGTGAAGAACTTACCAGAAGGAGTTACATCAGAAAAATTAAAAGTACTTTTTGAGAAGCATGGAGAAGTCACCAAAGTTGTTCTGCCACCATCTAAAACTGGGCAAAGTAAGCGAGACTTTGGGTTCATTCATTTTGCAGAGAGATCTAGCGCTTTGAAGGCAGTGAAAGCATCTGAAAAGTATGAAATTGATGGTAATGTTCTTATGCTTTTGCATTGCTGATCTGAACAACTGATTAGTTTGCAAAGTAATTAAAGATCTTCTATTATCTTTCACAAGCATATGGTGGTTGTTTATTATGACAATATTATTAACTTATGGACAAATTTACTGAAATCTTATATATAGTCTTATGGCTGCTCTTGTTCTGATTAATTATACAAGTTAACCATGTTTTCTTTTAAATTTCTCAAATGATAAAGAGGGTAATTTGATTTACTGCATGGTAAATCCATAATGTGTGTAATTCTGCAGAAATGCCTTAGTTAAGAACAACAATAGTAATAAGTTCAAATAGGAACATAAACTTCAAAGATGTCGTCTTTGTTTAGAACTTGTGTAATATTTCACATCTGCTGTACCATTTTCTTGCTATGTTATGTTTTTCTTGTGTATTGGAGATGACAGTGGTTCCATGTCTTTTTGTCAGGTCAAATAATTGAGGTTGTTCTTGCTAAACCTCAGACCGACAAAAAGTCTGATCACGCCTCCAATTCATACAAATCTGGACAATTTCCAAATTACCCTCAATACCCTTCTTATGGTTATGGTGGAGACCCATATGGCGCTTATAGTGGTGGATATGGCTCATCAGGACATGGCCAGGTTATCTCTTGCCTCTTTTTGCATAAAACTAGTTTTCCATCCATGATAATCTTTTAGTTTTTATTACTGCACATACCTACATCACTAAAAGTTTGGTTGTTGAGAAATTCTGCAGCCTGTCATATATGGTAGAGGGCCGATGCCATCAGGGATGAGAATGGTGCCGATGGTTCTACCCGATGGTCGCATTGGTTATGTTCTGTAAGCTCCATAACTTCAAATTTTTCGTTAATTCCAGATGCAGCTGCAGTACTATGTGCTCTTATATTATGAGGGTGTCCTTAAATCCTCTAAACTGTTTTATTAGCACTTGTAACTCCTAGACTCCACACGACATTATTTTCCAAGTTAGGTAGAGATGTCACATGAAAATTAAATTATGGGTAAATTTCGCAAAACCCTCCCCCAGTGAACTTTGTTTATTCCTTTAAACCCCCAAAACTTTAACCACGAATAACACCATTAGTTTTAACCCAAATTCCTGTTGAGGGTATTTGGGTAAATTGAGAATGTATAGTAACACTATTAGAGGGAGTATGTTGATAAAGTTAAAAGTTTAGGGGGTTATTTGAAATACCCAAAGTTTTGGAGGTTCAGTGAGAAAAGTTTGTGAGAGACGCCCCGAAGTTTTGGGGACACAAAAGTAGCGTCGTTTGAGATTCATAGGGTATAAGCAGCTAGACCATCTTAATACAGATGGCTATCTACATTTATTAACCCGTGCCTTCTTTTGGTTAATTCATATAAAAATTAATTTGCTTAATTTTATATTTCTTTTTGCAATTTTTGCAGACAGCAGCCTGGTGCACAAGCTCCACCACCACCGCCTCCTTCACGAAGAAGTGACCGTGATAGTGGGGGTCGAAGTAGTGATAGAGCCCGTGGTGGACGCCGATACAACCCTTACTAGTCTTTGATAATTCCTTGCTGTTGTTGTTTTGTTACGAGGACAAAGGTTTTGCGGTAGCTGTTGTTTTCATCTTGGCCTTGTTTCTTCCATTCGATGATATCTGGATCTCCAGCAACAATGGATCTAAAGGCATTTGTCACATGTTATATAGTAACTTATTAATACAGGCGTGACAATTGTCAACGGCTGCTTCATGCTGAAACTTTCAACCAGTATATGACATTATATCTTGAAAGATCCGACTGTATGTTACTGTCCGTGTTTGTTGTTTATTATCTTCAATTGGATAGTAGTATGTTACTACTGAGATATTTTGTGATGCTCTTGTCTTGGAACTATTAACTTGTGATTCTTGGCAGCAAAGATGGATCTTTTTTTGCGTATGCCTCATCTTCCACGGTGTTATAATCAGTGAATAGGTATATATGTGCGGTTGAATTCCAATCCCCTTACAGTAGTACAAAGATAAATTACTATTATGTTCCTATTGCAGATCAGAACATATTTTTCATTGGATTTGGATCCTTTCCTTGGGAGATCATTACATTTTACCACGAGCGTTAATTATTTTGTGAATGCTTGTGATTCGTTCTAAATCTAGCGCTTATTATACTCATATAAATTGCATTCAGTCCTCATTTGTACACAAAAACAAATCACAAATAGGCGATTTAGTACTGAAAAAGGTGGTGGTCTTCATACTACCTTTGAGGACCCAAATCGTTATTTAGGTCTCCGTACCAATCTTTTTGATAGTGGGGAGTACCTAAATCCTTTTTCATCAGAAACATGGTTATTTTTTTTTCTTAGCAATTAAAACATAACTACATTGCTTAATGTATTCCTCTTTCTTCATACTTGAAGATTACTTGGATACCACTGACTTATTGAAGAAACAACCCTGATGTTGTGCACCCACAGATAACACAAGGACCATGAAAGAGCTTGTACAACGAACTACCTTCAAGTATTTATTTATTTCTGACGGCGTAATATTGTCACATATCTCCAACTTTTGAGTTGGATTCCTCCAGTATAGCAAATTATAGTGAATATACATGTTTACTTTTGCGAAAAACTTATAAAAAAATCTTTAGCTTCAACTCAAAGCTAATTTTCTTCACGCTTTCTTCATGCCCATCAGCTCCTAGGGTGGAAAAAAATTCACATTCACCTGACTACACAAAAAATAAGAGGATATGTTAAATCGTCTATCTTATTGTTAATAAGAATACTAAATACAATATCAGTTTCTTCAACAAAACAAACACTATTCTTGAGATAGCCAAAAAATCAAATATTAACTAAAGGATATATAGGAGAAGTGAAAAAGAGAAATATATTTCAAATGAGAGAGATCGACAAATATATTTTCAAACCTGAGGATGCATCATGACAAACTTTTGACTGTTCCTTCAATGTTCTTCAATGCAGCAAGAGGCCTTCTTAGTTTTTAAGTTTATGACAAATAGTGGAGTTTGTGTTGGCCATAGAACCTGCAATTCGAAGTTTTATTGAGTTCAGATGCAAAATACTGATATACGTTAGCCCTATCAATTTTTAACTTTATGTTTAAAACTAAGGAATTCAAGAAACATGTTCAAGAATTTCTTTTCTAGGAAAAACATGTGCTGTGATTTATCGCTAATAAAGAAGACAAGTATCAAAGATAGAAATACAAATCAGGGTGACGAGATGGGATTGATTTTTTTAAAAAGGGTCTTCTACTTCTATACAGAGCATATCCAAAAGTTAAAGAGTGCAAATAAAGTTAAGCATAGTAGCGTTCATCTGAAAATAGCATGTCAGGCATATGAGAGGCAATTGCTGGATAGAAAGGCCAATGGCATGGGCAATTAGGAGTGAAGGATTTATAGTTGAAGGAGAACCTAGGCAAAAAGGGGAGCAAAATAAACATAGATTGGGGCAATAAAATATGTGATAAACCTGCAATTTTATCAATACGTGGCTGTTTGTAATTTTCACGTTCGTTTTTCTCTATTTACACCGAAAACAATATCTAAATTTTTTCTAGGATAGGTGATCAGGAGCATAAGGGAATCATGTGAAATGCCCCAGAAACTAATGTTTTTTTCCATAACATCTACTACATACAGTCAATGTTGCATTTGCTGCCTATTCACCTCTTTTTCTTTTCCATCCAGAATGACCACACTATAATTGAACTGAGAGATGTATATTGAAGTTGAAATCCTGATAATGGTCTAAGAGGGTGTTTGGGAGGGGCTTATTTTTTGGAGCTTATAAGCTAAACTTGGCTTTAGTGGCTTATGACTATTATGATAAATATTTTATATGATTGTTTGGATAAAATTGTAATTTGTTTGGTCAAATGTAGCTTATTTAGATGAGCTTATAAGGTAGTTTTTCAAAAGTTGGGAAACACCAACTTTTTTTAATGAGCTTAAAAGCTAGCTTACATAGGTGTTACCAAATATGGAGATACGGAAAAACTAGCTTATAAGCTACTTTAAGTTAAAAAATAAGCTCGCCCAAACACTATCTAAGTCTCGATTTGCTTCTATTAGTATTAATATTAGGCTTTCTGATGGCTTCATCAAGTTTTGGGTCGTAAGGATTAGTAAATGGAATAAATCTGCTTAATCACAACTTCACAAGCTCTCTCTCTCTATTGATTTTCTTTGCTGCCCCACAGTGTAACACGATCGATAACCGTTCAGTATTTCAAACCTTGCGTCTTTTCATGTACTGGTTAATGTTAACCAATATCAGTGGTATTAGCTGCTTAAGGTTAGATGGTATCAACACACTTAATATCCGGAAATGTCTGGCTAATAGTTGAAATCTTGATTTACATATCCCTCTAGATGTGATATGCTACATATAAATCTCCATAAGGTTCAAGTTAAGCCTGTGAATGCATACGTATATATTTTCTGCGAATTCATTTCCAAAACCGAGGGCTATATCTATATTGTAAAGGTTTCTCTTATCACGTACATGTACATTTCATGGGTGTCAATTAACATACACACTCTGTAGGCGGACTTCTGATTTAGCTCTGAATGAGAAAAAATACCCCTTGAATCATGGGTATTTGCAAAAATATCCTCCAAATCTCAGTATTTGCAAAACTACCCCTCAAATCAACAATTTTCAAAAAAATTAACCTCAAAGCAATTAATCATCAACTTTGATAAGCTAATTTGTAAATCACAATGTACAAATTATCAACAAAATAGTCAAATTTTTAGCACCAAGTTGATGATTTGTTGATTTTAGGATATTTTTTCACAAAGTTGATGAATTGACGGGTAGTTTTGCAAATGCTAAGATTTGATGTGTATTTTCGCAAGTACCCATGATTTAAGGGGTATACATGCAAATAACCCCAAAAAAATGAAACAAAATACACAGAGGATTTTATTCTGACCAGTAATAGAACTGAAAGGGGACCCATGAAGATGACAAAAAAAAGGCTTTGTTGTTGTATCAGTTATGTAATATAGGCCGCCCCTGAGTGGGGCTCAGATTGGTTTGTGGGTGCTCCTAGGTTGAGTAAAGGTTATGGCTTTGATAAAAACAAGGGTTTAAAATTAAGTTGGATTCTTGAGCTTACAGAGGTTGGCATAACAAGGCTGTTTAGAGACAGGATCCTCTTCAAAAGGAGGCGGCACTTGGCCATATATCATTTCACAACTCATATCTTCAAAATCTGCATGAATACAAACATAGAGTAAATGAAACGGCATTGCTTAGGGGATCAAAGATGTAAGTATATGGAAAACAATAAAGCTTGTTGACATATATCAGGATGAATCTGATGATATGGTACGGCAAACAACGTGAATGGCCAGAGATAGAATTCCCATTTAATATTTATGTCCATTCTGTTCATATCTGGCATTTAGATGATATAATTGCTATGGATATTTTTGTGCTAGTCCAACTATTAGACTTAGATACTAGAAGCAGATTCTGCACCTAGGCAATTAACTACTAAACTGAAACCTTGTTTACACGCTATGAGCATAATATAACTTACAACTGTATGAATTAGTTATGATTTTTAGGGTCAATTGTAGATAGGCCCTTGTCATATTGCTGCTTTGAACTTAACCCCTCTAATTTTATGTTTGCAAAGGGATCCCTGAATGAACTTTTTTGACTCTTCTATCATCAGGGGTCTATTAGTCAAAAGAAAAAAAAAACACACACAATTTTCTCTTTCGAGTCAAAAATTAAACTAGAGGGGTAGTAGGTTCAAAACAACAATACCACAGGGTTTCTGTCCGCAATCAACTCTTTTCTATAGGCAACTGGTCAAGTATAGGTTCAGCAATCAGCAGGTGATATCCCTATATCCGATAAATTGTGAATCCATACAATCTGAATCATCATAAAATAACATCTCTGTGCTCATTGTCAGTAGTAGAGGCCAATCAAATCAAGAAGCCAAGCAAGAAGATACTAGATAGGGTTACATACTTGGGTTCATGGTCAAGGGAAGTCCAAATTCATTGGTGAAAAAGTCTTGCGTTGGAATCTTGCACATGTTCACGCACATCCCTACGCATCCACTGTTCTCCAAATATCTGTAGGGATTCAGTGAAGAAATTAAAGTCTGTAAGAGCTTAAGTCAATGTGAAGAAGCATTGGTTATTTCTCATTAAAGCAAAAGAATCTATTAACATAGAAAATCATACTTGACAAAGTGTTCTACCTGCACTTCTTAATATGCACTCCACTTCTCTGTGTCTCCCCATTTACTTCCACTTCCACAACCTGATAATGCTCAATGATCAGTGACCATGAAGACAACATAAGCACTAACATAACTAGAACCTTTTCTAGTTAACAAAAAAGATGACAACTGAAATGCATATCGAGTTTCCATTCATACTATGCAATTGAAAATGCTAGATCCAAGCACAGTAAAAATTTGATACTTCGAAAAGTATAGGGTATCTGGTAGCGCATATAATCAGCATATGAACTATAAGCTATTGTGGTGGTAAAGTACGACCAAAAGGTGTGAAATGGACTAGCATTAAGAGAACTAGGCCTTGAATTATCTATAATATGCCTTCATGAAAATCGAATAAGGACTGGCATTAAGTCTTTGTCTCTTTGCATCAATAGGGGGTGAACTTAGTAGACTCATTAGGAGTGTTGATTGTGCTATTTGCTAGTGATATAATATTAGCAGGAAAATGGCATTTCCAAAGTAGGAAGGTGGATATAAGCCTTAAAATTTAAAGACTATGAATTCTCATTTTTGCGAAACTAAGAATTAACAAGCATATGGTACAGATTGATGATTAATAAATAACTCGGAGTAATCATTTTTCCTCTATAGGATCAATCTTTTACTATAATGATAAGATCAAGGAAAATAATATGGTCAAAAGGATGCTTAAAGTGATTTTTGCAGTTTTATGAATTATAAACTACCTATAAAATACAAGAGAACCTTCTAAAAAAGCTTCAAGACCATACTTCATGGATTGGAATGTAGCAAATTAAAACAATGTCTAAGAAAATGTGCATTGCAGAGATAAGGTAAAAGATGGATGAGTGGTGATAGCTAGGAAATAAAATAACAAAGTATGCAACCCCATCAACTTGAACTAGATATGCCACATACACATTTGATACATGTTCGATATAGAACATGTACAAGATGCTTGGTTAACATATGGCCAGAGTATTGGTTGTTGAAACCATATTTTATTTTCATAATAGGATTCACATGTAAGAAGATTATTATCACATTTTGTATGCAATTCCATACCAAATCCAAGGGGAAAAACATCAAGAAGACTATGTAAGATGTCAAATACCTCCGAGGGTCCAACTAACCAATTGAAGAAGGGTACTGTTAGTGCAGCATTGAACTCAGCAGCCCACTTAGTCGGAGGAAACAGCTTCCTGAACTGCATTCACACAAAAAAATCCATTTTTGAAGCAACTTCCTTCTATATATCGCAACTGCCAAAATAATATTTTCTTCAGCCTTACCCAGTAAAGTATAAAACACAGAAAATTTGCTCCAATTTACACCCAGCTGTCAGATAAGTATCTTGTATTACATAATAAACATAAACCCTTTATGCTCCTAGCCATTAGGAACTTAATGGAATCACATTTTTAAAGTGATTATCAATACATGTAGTATTTGAAAGTAAATGGGAAGTTTTTTTTTTCTTTTTTGATATTAATCCATTAAATATTTCATATTTTGAATTAGTCCCTCAAATAATTGAAACACTAATCAGGTCCCAAATTCTTAAGTCATTTTGTAATTAGTCCCTTAAGCATTGAAAGTGCCATAAGGTCCCCAAAATCTCAAAAGTTGTTTGAAATTAATCCCTCCACTTGCTACTTCAACTCTTGATTGGAGGGACTGAGTTTCAAAATAACTTAAGAATTGCGGGACCTAATAGAAATTTCAATGATTCTGAGGGACTAATTTCAAAATAAAATAAGAATTCCAAGACCAAATAGCAATTTCAATCATTTGAGGGACTAGTTTCAAAATATGAAAGATTTAAGGGCAACACATCAAAAAAAGAAAAAAAAACCAAATGGATAATGGAAACTATTTTTGTAATTTAGCCTTTTGATAGTCTCTGACTTGAGAAGAAATTCACCTGAGCAGGGGCACCAGGAGGAAGCATAGAGAGAAGGACCTCTCGAACAACTTCCTGCTGTTGACTTCTCGATCTTCCAACCATCACCCTTTTAGAAACATCAACGAAGCTCTCGTAGTCCCAATCCCACAAATTTTTACTATCGCTCTTTTTCCCTCCAGACGAAGCAAACTTCTCCATTTTACGAGCAAAGAGACCCATGAACACCTTTTCAAAGATCCCGTCTTTGTACTCTGTCTTCTGACCCATTGGAGCCGGAACTCCTGAAGGACCAGAGATTCCAGCACACTTAATAGAAAAGCAGTTTCGCTGTCTAAAGCTTAATGGTTGTCGAGGTGAAAAACTACAGTTGGGCACAGTCAAGAGCTCCATCTCTTGTTTTCTATTGTAATGTCAGACTTACATGCAAATCCTTGAACTGATTAGAAAATTGTTAACTTGTTTGCATTTCTGTAGATTTGTCTGGAGAGAGGATTCCTACCAAAGAAAAAGGAGAAGTCAAGGACAAGCTAAATTCAGAAAGATATGAGGCCAAGGAGGGGACACAGAAAATGAGCTCTGACCAGCCATCGTCAGAATCTAGAAGGATTGCTGCAACCAAAAGACAATGTGTGGGGATCAACTTAGCGTGTTATCGCACAAGTGGTAGGAGCTTCTCCATCCTTCATTATCAATCTGATGACTGGTTGGAAAACTACTAACATAGTGCACTTACTGTTAGAATTGCTCGTCCCCAAGTTCACTAAAATGTGTCCACATACTTCTCTTTGTTTCTGATAAGAATTAGGGACCACCAACTAGCAAGATACATGTGAACGTCATATGCTGTATATCTCGAGATTTTCTCCACAGACAGAGGCTTTTAAGCCGTTGAAGATCTCTCGAGCTCAATTCATCTTACATCTGCTCCAACATAGAACATCTTGCCCACTTGCCCTCGACTCATGTATGAGACAGTAAACGCGAAGTGAAAATGAGTGACTCTTGACAAGAATAACTGATCTAGCATCCTCATGCTATCTCCAACAAGAACATCGAGAATATTGGCAACCCAGACTAATTACTCTCTGCAAATTTAGCTCAATCAGGATTGAAACTTCCGGAACAAAACAACAATCATCCGATCATGTTCTTAGTTCTTCCCTTTGGTGCAGAGTCGACACAAAGGAAATGAAACCTCCAGTTACCATAATGAAGCACACAAATCAAAATCAATGATTCATCAAAATGTTATCTTCAAAAAACATGACGTGAATCCTGAGCATCCATCGAACTGAAACACTGAAAGAGGAGCTGGACACCTCCTATTTAGCTGTTAATTATTCAAGAAGAAGCCATGAAGAGAATTGAGATGATATGTAATTTAACTAACAATAGCGACGAAACCCATATAAGCATTTCATCAAACACCTTCCATACAATCATTTTTCTCAAACTCAATAGTGATACTGGGACTTCAATTCTTGAACTCGGGTCTCCAACTCATCAATCCTCTCCTTCCAATCACTACGAACGATTATGGGTCTCACATTGTCATAATCAAATTCTTCACTCTCACTTTCACCTCCCTCTTTCCCCCTCGCAGTCTTTAGCTTCCTCTGCTGCTGTTTCTTCTTCTTCTTCTTGAGCGTATCTGCTCTCTGGAGGGCGATGAGGACGTCGGAGCCTCTGAGGGGTGATGGGCCTTCGACTTTGGCGGTCATTTGTTGATGGAGGTTGGATTTGGGAGGAGACTGCTGTTGATGATGATGATGATGATGACGACGATTTGGGTTTTGTTTTCTGTGGAGAGTGGCGGAGACGGTGATTTGCTGGTTGAAGGGAGAAAATGATGGCCGAAAAACTGATGCAGGCTGCATTGCTGGGAGCGACTTCTCCGCCTCGGGTTGGAATGGGACTGCAAAGGCTCCCCCATTTCCAATTAGTATGTTGAAATAAGCCCCCTAGTTAAAATCTCGTTGAAATGAGAGAATTTTTTGTTTACTATAATTTTTTCGGTGATTTGCCAGTTATACATGACCCTCTTATGCAAACTCAAACCTATTAAGTAGGGCTGGGCATATTCGGTTCGGTTCGATTTTATGCCCAATCTGCATCTAATCCGAATTTTTTGGATTCTCAAAACTCTCATCCAGATCCAGATTTTTTCCCCTTCATTTGAATATTCGGCCCAACCGAAATTCGATTCGGTTCGGTTTCGTTTTTGAATTTGCAAAGAGTTCTATCCAAAGACTTCTGTTGTGAATTTGCAAGCTGGGCATTGTCCTCATGATGAGGTTCCTGAGCTCGCCAACAAAGCTTTATTAGACTGGTTATCATCTTTAGAATAAAGTTTTGAGTTGATATAATTACGCAGAGAACTGATGTTTTAAATATGTTGTTCATATAATACAGCATGCTTATCTCTTGTAAGTATCATGTACATAACACATTTTGTGATTGATTTGAATCTTATGTAATTCTCAAGATCTTTTCTGCGAAATTTTTTAACTAAAGTTTAAGTTTATTTAATTACACGGGGGAGTGATGTTTTATATGATATTGTTCATATAATGTAGCATATGCATCTTTTGTAAGTGCATCATGTGCATAACAAATTTTCTGGATTGATTTGAATCTTTACTTAGTTTTCAAGGATATTTTTCTGTGATATTGCTGTACTCATTGCTTGAAACTGCTCCTTGCGCCGTTTGAATCTATTGGATGATAACAGGAAAAGTTTTGAGGTTTAAGTTTAGTCTCTAAACCGCCCAACAGAATTCGGGTCGGTTTTTTTTTGGGCGGTACAGGGGTTCAAACCGGATCCGAACCGATTTAATTCGGTTCGGGCGGTTTAGAAACTTCTTCTCATCCATTTAATTCGGTTCGGTTAACCGGTCCGTTTTTTCGGGCGGTTTTTTCTGTTGAACCGGTTTTTTTCGTTTTTCGCCCACCCCTACTATTAAGCACTGTAACTTATACCCGTTAAGCTCTCCAAATTTATTTAATGAAACTCTAATCCAAACCCATTTTATCTTCTCTAACGTCTTTCCTAGCGACTCTCTTCAACTCTACTCCTAAATTTGTACTGGATAGATTCCTGTTGAGGAATATGTTGAAGAGGACGATAGAGAAGATGAAGTGAAAACTAAGTTTGAGTTAGGCTTTTATTAAACAGATTTGAGGAATTTAACAGGTATAAATTAAAGTGATTAATGTATTTGAGTTTGTGCAAGAGGAGTATAGCTGACAAGTCACTGACAAAGTTAAATTAAAACATAAGTTACCTCCATTTTGACCAAATTTTAACTAGAAGAGCTTATTTCAATATATTAATAGGATTTGGAGGACCTGAGAATAATTTAAAGATTTGGGGGCTAACATTGAAATATTGAAGATTTAATAGGGCCTAAGATTAATTTCAAAAATTTGAGAGGCTAATATACAATATAAAAGATTTGGAGGGCTAATATAATAATAACCCTTAACAGAATTTTACTTGGTTGGAAATGAACAGGTTCTAGGCCACAATATTTAATGGGCTCGTTTTGGGCCCCTCTCATTATATAAACGTTTTTTTATTAGCGGGAATCAAACTCGAAATTGTGGGAGATATCTTAAAACCTTCTAATTATTTAAATTACTTCCTCCATATTTATAGTAATTTTATCAAAACAAGAACATCATATGTCCAAAAACTGTGGTCTCTTTATTACGGCCTAAAATAAATTCAAACAAAAAAACACTAATTTTATCCCAAAACACCTTTTAGATAGATGTATTAAGTTTACTATTGTGTTTTGAGTTCGGATGAGGTCTTAATGTAATAGCTGAAAATAATATATAATGATCTAATTAGTGTGATTTTTTAGAATATAATTTTCAGCAGATGATACTTCATTATTGTATAATATTATATTAAGATTAATACAAACCTTGTGTTTCGTATAATATTAATATTATGGGGGTTTTGTCCTTTGGCCCAAAGTTATACCCCTCTTTATTTATTAACCTATTCGGTTTCATAAATATTTATGCACCCAAGATACATCCTCCCACTTATGTCTAAACCCAACCCTTATAATATAAGGTGTTTATAGATAGTATTTCTCAAAACTCCTAAAATACCCTTCATTTAATCTGTAAACAGATCTACGAATCTCAGAACAAAGGAAATGACCCTTCTGTTGGCTTCATTCCCCAATTTCTTTCGAAAATCCCTACCTTCCGAGGTTCTCCAAGTCCTTGCAAGGATATTCGTTGTCACCCTCCACAGCCACTTTGAGGTTTTATTCTTCTATGGTTCATTTTTACTGCCACCGCCAATGTCAACAGATGCCATCGGCAAGAGTAGGTTCTTAAGAGTGACATCGTGAGGCTATTGATAACGGCAAGGCCAGTGGTGATAATGACGGTGTCATTTAGGAATATGGCTTACAAGAGGCTATCGTTGGAGAATGAGGTAGCAGATATGACATCAAATACTATTGAGCTTATGGGTCAGTCATCATCAGCACCGTCGTGATAGCCCATGAATGATGGGTTTCATGGGTTGCTGCTGAAATTGATAAATAATGTGTAGTTGATCGCTGAGGCTTATGATTGGGCTGCTGGAGGAGGAAGAGATCCTTATTAGAGATTATTGAGATTATTCTTTAGGATTTCTTATCTGTTCTTCTTCTTCCTTCATTTATCATTTTATGTGTTTTAGTTCTTTTTTCCCTTTTTCTTTTCATTGCTCAACATGTTTGCTAGTAACATTGGAGAAGCTTGTACAATTCTATAAATTCTTGGTTCTTCTATGATGATAAGAGTGTGATGGTATTACTGCAATAATTAAGTACCTTGGGTGCCATTGTAGCACTACAATTCCTCATAACTAACATAGTGCAACACCTTATTTATATAGTGTCTGATCAAAATGTAGCACTTTATGCCAAAAGAGTAACACCTTATTTGGAAAATGTAGCTCTTTACACGATGTATAGGTCTTTATAGCAAAAGTATAGCTCTTTATTGCTGAAGTATAGCTATTTATTATCTCTAAAATGCAAAAAATAAATTGAGTGAGTAACTTTTTTTATCAATGAAAATGGGTGACCATGTATATAGTTGTTTATTCAATTCTTTATAACTTTCAGTTGCACTCTCTTTTATACAATGTCTGAACGAAGTGTAGCACTTTATGCCAAAGCATAACATCTTAGTTATAAAGCATATCTCCTTATACAATTGTATAGACTTTATAGTAGAAGTGTAGCTCGTTATTGATAAATTATCTCTTTATTGTCTCTGAAAATATATAAAATAAATCGAGTTTTTAGTTTTTTTATCAATGAAAATGTGTGACATTGTATACATTATCACACGTTTACATAGCTCAAAAAATTGACATGATTTATTTCACTAAGTTTTAGGATTTTAAAAGACAATAAAGAGCTATACTTTATCAATAAAGAGCTATACTATGGTCATAAAGAGCTATATTTTAGAATAAAAAGTTATACTTTCACAAAAAAGTGATGCACTTTAGTATAAAGAGCTATACTTTTTAAAAAACTAGAAAATTGAGAGTGGACCTCTCGTCTACATGAATAATCGTTCGAACCTCACATTGTATACATCATCACATGTTTACATTACTAAAAAAACTGATATGATTTATTTCACCAAATTTCAGAATATTAAGAGACCATAAAGAGCTATACTTTATCAATAAAGAGCTATACTGAGGTCATAAAGAGGTATACTTTCATAAAAAGGTCTACACTTTAGTATAAGGAGCTACACTTTTCCAAAAACTCAAAAATTGAGAGTGTACCTCTCGTCGACATTGTGGTAATCGATCGAACAACGCATTGTATACATCATCACACGTTTATATTGCTAAAAAAACTGATATGATTTATTTTACTAAGTTTTAAAATTTTAATAGACTATAAAGAGCTATATTATATCAATAAGGAGATGTACTTTGGAATAAAAAGCTATATTTTCACAAAAAGGTGATACACTTTGGTATAAAGAGCTATATTTTTTCAAAAACTGGAAAATTGAGAGTATACCTTACGTCGACATTGTGGTGATTTAGTCAGAGTTTTATTTTCAATTTCTTGAATAAATGGTTGATACTATTGTCATTCTTAGAGCAAAGTGTAGCACTTTACAGTCATTAATTTCTTGATTAATGAAAATGGATGACCATGGATATAGTTGTTTGTTTAATCCTTTATAACTTTCAGTTGTACTCTCGTTTATACAATGTCTAAACAATGTGTAGCACTTTATGCAAAAGCGAATAACCTTATTTCAAAAGTGTAGTTCCTTATAAAATTGCATACCTCTTTATAGCAGACATGTAGCTCGTTATAGATAAAGTATAGTTCATTATAATAGCTTGTTATGAGTTCTATATCATTCATATACTCTACCAGTGATGGATGACTTGCTATATAAGCTTTTCAAAAAATACAAATCAATCAAATATCTTTTTAAAGCATTTAATCAAACATGTGGTATGCATCAAATAAATTCTATTTAATACGCATAATCTTGCAAAATATTACAAACTAACTAATAATCTTTTTGAAGCGTTTCATCAAACACACAATATACATTAAACTTTGTCAATATATTTTCACATTCCAAACCTTAAATCCAAAGTCTTAAGTCAATCCAACATAAAAGTAATCTCATGATTGCAGGCAAATGTGGTAGACTGATCCTTAAGCGAGAACCTTGTTGAATGACTGAAGTCGAGATGGAGGAGAGGAGTGAGTTTGTCGAAGCAGTTGGTAGTCGAGGATGAGCTTGAATTGATTGAGCTTGTCGGCCAAGGAGTGGAGGGACAACCGGTGGACTTGATGCCACGTGGGAGCTCCATGGTGAAGCCTTTTATGGAGGAAGTGAAGGAGTGGCAA